GTGATCCCGGATCTCCCCTCCTTCCGCCGCGCCCTTAAGACCTGGTTATTTCAGCAGGCAGGACTGGCCTAGGGGTATTTTAAAGGGGTTTTAAATTAAATTTTTAGTAGAAGCGGCCAAATTTAAATAGTTATTTTTAATCTTTTTAAATTTTGTATTGTATTATATCATTGTTTTAAACTGGCTGTAAGCCGCCCTGGGTCCTCCGGGAGAAGGGCGGGGTATAAATTTAATAAAATCAAAATCAAAATCAAATCAAATTGAGTTTGGCAGCTCCCATTTGATGCCTTAGGATTGCAAATCCCAGAATTCCTGTTCCAGACAGAGGGAGGGACAACTGTAAGGTAAGACTGGTAACAACAAAAGGGTATGACAGACCATCAATACACTCTTCAAAAGCCAGAAATGTCAGGGCTCCCACATTGTGTCTGCAGAGTATGGTTAGAAATGTCGATGGCAACCATGATGTTTTTTAATGTGTGTTGCACATGCAATGCATGTAGAAAATGGATGGAGCTATGAAAATACCGCTATAGCTGTCTTGATGTTTTTTATTCTGCGGACATCCTTGGTCAGCTAAATGTGAAAATATTTATTCCTCTTTTGTTTTATAAATGGAACAATTATGCTTTTCATGGCCATTCTGATTTCCCTGATGTTTTTCTGGCTGGCAGTTGGCAGAAAAAACCTCTGGGCACTTAATGGTTTTTTTAAAAGATGTCCTGGAAGTGAATAGGTATAGGAATAGTTCTCAAAATATTTGCTATAAAAAGCATTTGTAAAGTTGGTCGTGAGAAATACTGGATCAATACGGTCATGAGCATACAGTAATTCTGTACGTTGCTCTCATGCATGTGTGTGTGTGCATGTCTGGGCAGGCATGTGTGTGTGTTTGTGCAGAGTAAATCTCAAAAAGTGGGAAAGCAAACAATCCCTTTTTAAAATTAATTTTATTTTTGCATATTTTAACCTGCAATAATGTAATCAGTGTTTCTTAAACTTTTTTCTCTCAGGACCTCTTCCCACTTTTAAAAATTATGGAAGACCCCAAAAGAGCTTTCATTTTTTATAGGTTACATTTAT